ACAAGGGTATTAGCACGTAAGTGAATGTAATGGATTCGAGTAGAATTCGAACTCGGCTCTCCGATTTCTCAATTCCATTACTCCACCGTGCCTCCTCAGGAACTTAAGGCACTTAATTAGGGAGCAAAGCTTGAAGAATTTAACACTCAGAGGAACACATTAAAAGCAAGAAATGCAGCAGAAAATAGGAAGTAAACTATTTGATGATTTTAAGTAAATAGATGGCAAAAGAAGACCTACAATATTAACGAGGTGAAGTAAAGAAGTAATCCTTATAGAGTAAAAGTAAATTATATAAGTAAAACACGGAAGGTTTAAAGAGCCATGATCGCCTACGTTCTAAAAGAATATGGCGGACAGAGAATGATTTCTCTTATTCCAACAGATTTTGTGTTCTTCATCGATATCAACACTACAAATTGTTATTTTCCTTTTCTAAACTTCTTGATGTTTTTAAAAATTCCAATTGGGATTTAAGTAGTGTTTTAAAAGAATGAGAAAAATCTCAACAAATGAATGAATATTTGAAGGCAACCAATTGTTTTTAACTGTGAGATCAACTCTTGCTTGTTATTCGCACGATTTAGACAGAGTGAAACTTGCACATACTCTTTGTAGGTATTCATGTAAATATTGCCAATACACATTGTGCATTCATGTAATGCATGCAAATATACATCGTGTATAAGTGATGCAAATACACATCGAAATATCTCTTAAGAGTATAGCGCGTCTTCATCCTCATATTTATCTTCATAGACATGCACCCGTATAGAGAAATAATAAAAGAAATATTTATCAAATCATGTATATATATATATATATATATATATATATATATATATATATATATATATATATATATATGATTTGATCAGTTGATATTAAATATCTCGACATCCTTACATATATACTTTACGCATTCTTGTATGCACACATACGTATACACAGAGCATAGATTCATATCTCGATGGATAATAGTTGAGAGAATAAATAATCGATATTAGTTTCAATGAGATTGATAGATATGAACAGACAAAGATAAATTTGAACAGACTGATATAAAAAGCAAACAGCTTGATATATATATATATATATATATATATATATATATATATATGGGTATGTTGGTGGAGAAATAAATGCATAAAGAGAGAGTGAGCGAGAGATGCCTAGACAGATGAATCCTGCAGAGAAATCTATCATTTTATTGATATATTAATCTATATTAAATTCATCTTCACCCTCTTCATCTGCCTTGCTTCCATTCCTACTCCAGCGTCCCATACACACTCATCAATCTCAACTAAGGAAAGAAAAAGAGAGTCAACCTGCATTTTTTCTCTCGTCCTTCGAATTACGGGGTTGTTTATCGCTGTGTGATTGACGCCTCGCCTGACGGGCGAAAAGCAGCGAGGCTCCATAAAGATGGCATCGCCATCAATCCATCACCATCACCCGACCAGCGTATAATGTCAGCCATGCTACAACCCCCACGTGATCATCACCGACCAATCAGAAAGGGTGTCAACAATATGAAGGCCCAGTAGGTTTTGGGTGAAGGGTTGATAAAAGAAAAAGAATAGAGAACAGCATCGGGCATAATAATGAATCATATTAGTATTTCCTGCAGATAGTCGCCATTATCCGTCTGTAGTATCAAGTTCCGCTGTGCGCAGCAGGATGCGCAGTTAGCCTAAAATTGGTCGCTGCAATTGAACAAACAGTGCCTAAAATGAGTGAATAAGTCATTTTTCTTCTTACACGGAAAAAGTGTGTACGATGTAAAGTTGTTCGTCATTTGTGAAGTTTATTGAATGATAAATATCTGAATAAATAATTAATTATAGCAGATTTTGCAAGTATATATGTGGCTGATTTGTGGAAGAAGTTTGCATGTTTTCTTTTTAAATTTAAGTTTGATAACAAATCGTAACAACCAGACAACGGGGAAAATAATTTTTGGCTGCTTTTGAGTCAGTTATTTGATTAAACATTATGTGATTTTACCGCATTAAATGGAAGCGCGATAAATTTTAGTTCAGATTTTTTCAAGAATTTATTAAATCCAACTTACGTTTTATATAGGCATTTTCCCCATTCGAGGTTTCCTCTAAAATAAAATCATCAGCGAAAAACTAGTTGCCTCAGTATAAAACGTTTATTTTCCGATGTTAAATAAATACATTTCAAAAAACAAGAAAATATAGGTACCACCAAAGAAAAACGATACCCAAGGTTTAAAATAAGTTTTTAAATATAAAAGATCTTTCTTGAAGCTTTTATTTTAGTTTTAATTTCAAGCTAATAAATTTAATATTTATAATAAGCAAAATGCTTTGCTGCATTTCAAATTGACTTTAAATTGATTGGAATAAGTTTTTCATTACCTGTAAAAACGTTAAAATCATCTATACTGACAAATATGTCAACACCACGCAATTGTTTTTTATTTATTTAATTTCATATATGCAATGTATTTTAACGCAATGCAAAGAACAATAGTTAACGCAATGGAGTAAGTATGGATAAAGCACTGTTGAAGGAGTTTTGAGAAATTTGTATATGACATTGTTTTAGGAAAATCTATGCCAAAGTGGAAAACGTTTTTTGTGTGAGGCGTTTCATCCTTTAGAACATCATCGGACTAAAGTGATGTTTATGTCGATGTGATTATACATGCGTATGAAGAAGAGAGAACGCTGCCATTTTACATTTAATTTTTTAAAATATGTATTTTACGGTATATAGTCTAACGAAATTCATTTAATTTCTTTTTTTTACGTCTTTATCACCTTTGTTTATTAAATATCCCACATTATGATAATAGCAGATGTCAAGAAAGGTGAAATATTGTAAGAACCTAGACGCAAATGTACTGTGGACGATGTAGTGATTAAAGCAATTTCTGTCAATTTTGTCTTAGTAACTTGCTTTCTCTTTTAATTGAAGTAACATTCTTTAAATCAAAATTATGGTCAGACCCAATACGGTGAGCAGCTAATGCAGTGACTGTTTTATTATCACAATGTGAGATATTTTTAACAAAAGGAATAAAAACAGAAATAAAAACAAACTACATGAATGCGGCTAGATTATCTACCCAAAACACATATTTAAAGAAAAATTTAAATTTTAAATTTCCGTCGCCTCTCCTTCATAAGCATGTGTAATTACATAAACGTAAACATCACATTAGTCCGATTAATTCCTAAAGAAAGAAATATATTTTCCACTTTGTCATAGATTTTCCTAAAATTGTTCTTGAAATATATATATATATATATATATATATATATATATATATATATATATATATACACACACACATACACACGCACACTCATATATATATATATATATATATATACACACACATACATATATCATTTTCCCATATGCTATTGTATATAAATAATTATTGATTTGGAACACTACAGGGAGAATAATCAACTATTCATTGGGACACACTGCAGCAGAAGCAGGTCGAATAATCAATTATTCATTTCGGACACACTTTAGCTGAAGCAGAGTGAATAAAAAATTATTCATTTGGGACACAGTGCAGCTGAAACAGCAAGAATCATCACTAATTCATTTTGAGACACACTACAGCTAAAGCAGGGAGATTCAACAATTATTCATTTTGGGACACACTACAGCTGAAGCAAAGAGAATAATCAGTTATTTATTTAGGTTTCTCTACATTTGAAGTAGGAGGAAGAATCAATTATTCATTTGGGTCAAGCTACAGCTGAAGCAGGAAGATTCATCAACTATTCATTTTGGGACACACTACAGCTGGAGCAGAAGGAAGAATGAATTATTCATATGGGACATTGCAATTGAAGCAGGGAGAATAATCAATTACTTATGTAGGACACTCTACATTTGAAGTAGGAGGAAGAATCAATTATTCATTTGGGACACACTACAGCTGAGGCATGGATATCCCCGGTTTTGCACTTGCGAAAGAACGAACCAGTGGTTTCAGAAATGTCCCCACAAAAATAAGAATATCCCAAATCAATCTTATAGGAAATCCTTGAACAACATCAATGACTATCAACAGGTTTGCCGAAGAGCGGAAATTCGTATTATTTATGCAAATCAGTGTATTTTATTTGTCAGTTTTTCTCGTCATTTGGCTGTGCTAGTAAACAAATTGGACATGTAGATTCTGTATGAATCAACAGAAAATCAGAAACTGTGCTCCTTTCAGTTATGTTCATACACTGCTAACACGTAAGAATGCGTCTTTACTTATAAGGAAAAATTAATTCGTCACTATAATCGTAAATGTATATTTTAAATGTTCTTTGAATTTTATTTTGTCAGAATCCGACAATGTCAGGCTTGCCATTGTTCGTAAAAAGATATTTATTAAGTGAGATTAACATCAATATTAGACTTAGTTTCTTATGCACCTTATTTTCATGGCATGGTAAAGCGGCCCTATTCATAATGATAACATGCACTCTTTGCCCATAGATATACATTTATACGGTGTGAAAACCTACTGTAGAGAGGAAGTATGGTTTCGGTCTCGTCCCTTGTGTCAATATTAGGTTAGCCCGAATGTAAATATAGACGTGTTGTTAGAAAATAGTTGGAATCAAGTATATTTGTTTTCTAAAAGTCATATGTATTTACATATACGGACGCTGCTTAAGGACAACTACAAATTTAAATACGTTCGTACCTCTGTCGTTATTTCTAAAGGAAATTTACTAAAATTACAATTTGTTACACATCGTTGGATGTAAGCCAATGATCAGTTTAGATTAAACAAGAAATTCGTTAAATTGTAATAATCTAACATCTTTTTTCAGAAGATTCTTTGTCAGAGATGTCACTATAAACTAAGTCAGTATTGCACAGTTTTATTTACCTGCCTAACGAAAGGTATTATCGAAATTTTTATAAGAGGAATTAACGCTATTGTTTAACTCAATTCTCTAACTTTTCAGACGCCTTCCCGACATACATTAATTGTGACAATGTGGGCAACTAGACCAGGTCCCCAGCGATTTATTTTGGGCGAATACGCGATTTACGCTGCAATGCAACATGTAAGCAGTATGTCTTTATTTTTTATATTGTCAATAATATTGACACTGTCTGGAGAGAACTAAAAATTGTTATGGAAGAGTAAAGGGATGTTTTAACGCTCATTTTAACAGAGACGACATTTTGTTATTTTAAAGCTGCGAATATGTCTCTGTGCGCATGCGTTTATATATGAGCGCGTACCAAGGGTTGAATGATAAATATCTGGCGTCTCTCCACGGCGACAACGATTCTACGCTTCACACTCTGTTTTACTAGTTTTGGTCGACGCCAATCGACGAAGACATCTGAGGCAATCTTTCGACGTTCGAGACTGATCGCTACATTTGCCAGTGGTTCATGAATATTTATGAATAAATTTTGGAAAATACTCGTCTCTCAAAGGATAATCAATAAGTGTATGAGAAACCATTTATCACTTTGGATAATAGGCGGGAATAATTTACGAAGATTAGGCCTCAAATCCTTGGCAGGATGTTGCAGATATTTCGCTGTTATAAATCATTACTTTTGTTGTAATAGCACTTTGGAAGGATAAAGAGGGAGAGAGGCAAATAAGAAAAGGTTACAGGCAAAGAAGAAGAAGGCGAAAAAAGAAAGGAGAGGAAATGTAATACAAAAAGAGTGAAAGAAAAAACATAAAATGAAAAGAAAGAAAAAGCAAAAACGAAAAGAATGTTATAAAATGTAATGAGGAAGGACAGACATTAGAGAAGTAAAAAAGTTCAAAAAGGAAGAGGAAGGAAGAAAGGGTAAAAAGCGAAGACAAATGAGGGAGAGAAAAGTTAAATAGAGATTTTTTTAAAAAAACGAAAAAAAAAAAAACAAAAGTGAAAATGAGAAAAAGGGAAAAAAAGGTTTGAATAAGCGGGAATAATAGGAAAAGAAAGAAAGAAAGAAAGAAAGAATGAATGAATAAATAGTCGAGGAGAAGAGAAAAGGAACAGGAATAAGACAAACGGAAGTTTAGAAAACAAAAAAGGCATTAAGAAAAAGAAAAAATAAATTGAAGATGAAAAAGTTGATAAAAAAGCAAAAAATAATTAATGTAGAAAGAAAGAATGGGCGAGAAATGATTTAACAAAAAGAGAAATTCAGAAACAAAGTAACAGAAAACAGATACACACACAAACACACATGAGGGATACTGACGCAAAAATCTTTGGGTTCGGCCAACTTCTCGAAATTTGTCGAAAAAATCCAATATCAATTTTTTTTTAAAATAACGTGTTGGTTCGATGAAGAATTTTTCAACACCTCATAATATGTTTGGTAAAATAAGATCAATCTTGACAAGATATTCTATTATTTTAGACGCATCTGTGTGCTTGTGTGTCTAGCTGTATGTGAGTGAGACAAATACGGCTGAAAAATGGAACTGACTTAATTTTTTTTAAGTGTTCGACATCAGTTCTATCACTGAAACTTTTAGTTACATCTATGTTTGTCACATATAAGGTTACCAAAACTTAAGATTTTAGGTACCTCCAAAGAAACACGACATTTGATTGAAAGTAGTTTTTGTATCGAAATCGCTAAAAATCACTGATTTCAGCCATCTGTCAATTCTCTTTATTAAAAATCTTTCAAAAATAAAATATACTTGCTTGAAATTTATTTGAGAAATATTAGCTTATTTAAAATTTAATTAATATGATTTGAACAAATATTACTTAGTTTTATTTTAAAATATGGTAGAAATACATTTTGAACACAATGGTAGGTGTTTATTTAAGGTGTTGACAAGTTGACAGGTTGACTAGTAACCGCAAGTTTTTGATTTTTTTTTTCTATGGTGGACATATGTGTAAAAATTACTTGAAGAATATAACGTGAGCGTTTTTTATATCATTTTTAACTATCCGGTAATCTTGAAAATGTAGGAAAATATTCTCCGTAATCTAATGTTTTATTGAATTTTAGGTAATTTGACATTAAATTCCCTAAAGTTATCGCTCTTATTTTCTGAAAATGTTCTGTATGGATGTCCGTATTTACAAAAATTTGCACATTTATACACAGACAAAAAATTTTTTTAATTATTTAAAAAAATATTATGGGTTGCTGAATTGTAGCAAGCTTTTCCATTTATGGAAACAATTCTCGTAAATGATCACCAAAAAATGTTCTTAAGAGAATAGTGTTTATAATATATCTTAATCCCAAGAGCAATTAAAAGCGTTTTTAATTAAATAATGTCTTAGTTTTATTCCATTTTTTATTTTACGATTCAGAGCAGATTTCCGGTAACTGGGGTAACTTACTAAATAAATTGGTGTCGTAAAATCTCCAAGGACTTCTGCATATAACTAATATAAAAAATATGCGATACACAAATAAATTTCTCAGAATTTCATAAATTTAAATAAGTGTGTGGAGGGGGTGTAACAAATATAAAAATTGTTTTTATTAAGATTTTCTTTAAAAAGACAGATTTAAAAAATAATGTAATTCATTTGTGAATAAGTCCTGAAAGTGTCATTTAAAATCCGATAATTATTTGATTCTGCAAAAATTTCCAAATCAATATATTTTCACCTTAAAAAAAGTCTCTCCTATACTAATCTTTTGTCCCTCCGCTGACGCAAGAAAAACAAGAATTTCAACCAAATTTTGGAACGTTCAAACATAAAATTTCGTTATCCAAAAATCACTTGGCCTTTCCTCTAAATAATAACATGAAGATTTTGTCGATAAAACTTTGTTTTTATTAAGTTTGGAGTATATTTTCATTATGGTATGCATATTTTAGCGAATCTGTGAAGGTACACTATATATATATAGATAGATAGATAGATAGTGTTAATTATATATATATATATATATATATATATATATATATATATTTATTAAGACATTTTTATGTTTATACATTCTTTTTATAGATACAAATATTTAAGTAAATGCTCTGTTTATAATAACAGTATTAATAACATTTACCGGCCTGAATGTCCGAGAAATTTTCATAGAAAATATTCGTCCTCCGATAGGAATCGAACCTGTATCTTATACGGAACCGTCATATAGCCTGACGTGCCTTTAACCGTTTGAGCCACAGAGCATCGTTCGATTAGCAAGATTGTAGTTTAAAAGCAGTAAAATCATAATGTGTGACGTCATTTGTTTACATTTGGAGACGCTTTGAGCAGATATGAATGTACGTGAGAGATTCATGGAAGACTGTAGTTTAAAAGCAGTAAAATCGACCTTGCTAACCGAACTGGGAAATGTCTGGTGAATGCGGCTAGTGGGGTAGGTACTTTCCATTTAAGCGTTTTCCAGTAGGTTTTCACCCGTTTCGCAACATGTGGCCTAGTGTTATCATGTTAAAAAATCACTTTGTCGTGTCTCTGCTCATATAGCAGCCGTTTTTCTTCAATTCTCGGCTCAAAAGCATCAATTGTAGTCGATTGAGATCTTCTGTGATGGTTTTGGTCGATTTGAGCAGCTCATAATAAATAACAACCAGATGATCCTGCCAAATACAGAGCAGAAGCTTTAAACCATGGATATTCAGCTTTGCCACCGATGTTGATGCATGACCAGGCTTAACCCACGATCTTCTACGTTTAAGGTTGTCGTAGTGTATCCACTTTTCACCGCTGGTCACGATACGATACAAAAAAAAAACTTACATTTTCTGCCGTTGAAGCAGCTGTTCACACGTAACAAGACGCCGTTCGACGTCTCTCTGCTTCAACTCGTACGGCACATAATGTCCTTGTTTTGAGTCATTCCTAATGCTTTCAAACGTTTCGAAACTTTTGTGTGATCAACTTCTAATGATTCTGCAAGTTCAGCTTGCGCCTGACATGAGTCTTCATGAAATAATGCCTCTAATTCTTCGTCTTCAAGCTTTTTCGGTGCGCCATATCGTTGTTTATCTTCAACATCAAAAACATTATTTTTGAAGCGTCTAAACCAATCTCTGCATATTGTTTCCGACAGAGCATGGTCGCCGAAAGTCTCAACAAGAATTCTGTGTGCTTCAGCTGCAGATTTCTCTTGAATAAATTAGTGCAGTAAAATTCCCCGCAAATACACTTTCTTTGGCACGAAATCCGACATGTTTAATGTTATGAAAAACAAAATTGTTTACACTTCGGGGAAATGGCATACACTGAATTTCAAGTTAGCTTATAGGACTTCATTAGAGTTACCATCTGAAGCTACACGCACGCAGTTTTGGGAATGCCATCTGTTGGAAAATAGCGATGTCCTAATATATATATATATATATATATATATATATATATATATATATATATATATATATTGGGTCGTAACAAAAGATCGTCGCGTTTTTTAAGTGAATCTCAAAGACAATATATAGATATTTAGCAAACAACTTACGAACAGTACATTCTCAGTTGTGTCACCATTCTATATAAACGGCACATGTCAGCGTTTTTTTCTTTCAGATGACAAAAACGCATCTCGTTTTCCTCCTTTTTCACTTTTAACGTAAAAAAAATTACAATCCACATACAAATCCACGTGTTCAAATGTCTTCTCTTAGTATATGTAGATATATCATTGAGTGATGTGTGAAATGAAATTACGTGTTTAATCGCCAACTACTGAAAAGAAATACGTCCTTTGGTTCCTGCTCAATATATATATATATATATATATATATATATATATATATATATATATCCGACTACTCCAAATGTTTGAGTAGACGCCCTTTTTTAACATTGAATTCAGTATACCGGTCTACGCATTCGAGAGACACTTTTAATAAAGAGAAGGTGTAGAATAAACCACCATCTGATCCGGCATACTATAGAACATTCGGCCACAGAGAGAGTTACAATGCTGTCTTACCATTCAAAGAATTTACTCTAGTTGACATCTTCTCGAAAACCATATTCCTATCCAAAAATCATACAAAGTAATTCTTCAGGAATCAATGGATTTTTTTTTTGTCCGAAATAAATTCTTACTATACCAAATATTATGTTGTTTATACCCATGTTTAAGTATATGCTCGTTTTTTAACTGTGTAAATTATATCTAGCGGCCTGAACATTTTATGTGCTGTCCGGTAGATGCGATGTCAATATATGATTTTTTTCTTTCTCCGTGGGTTCACTTCTCACAGTTAGAATGACCGGCTGTGAACCCCAGAAATTCATAAGTTTTACTTAATAATTGTCCCAAAGCAGAAGACTTGTAATGCTGACAATTCCAATATTCACGGGAAGCGTAATTTCTTTTCTATAAGTAAATAAATTGAGAGTTATCAACCTAATAAGAAAAGAAATGAAATCATATCTTCAGATTGTCTACGGGAAGAACGAATCTTTTATCCGACACAAGTTTTTCTTTTTTAATTATCCGCTCAAGAAAGAGTATTAATGGATGAAGTTTTTGTATGGACGTAAGAGGAGGAAGTAAGTGCAAATTATGAGGATATGTAGGCTGATAACGGTTGATCCTAGACTTGAGGTTAAGAGTGTAATGATTGGGAAAACATCATCTCAGGAGTCTGTTTTGCAAAATAACGATTCTCGAGAAAAATCTAGCTAAGTGGCACTTCCAATGGAATACGGAAGGAATGAGGATGATACAACCCTGTGTACGTACCATGGCATTGTCCTAGCTGTAAATGCCTGAACTTGTGGAACTAAAGAATGTAGAACGTCTGAACATTCGACGTGGAAATTGCAATAGAGTGGCAAAATGCTTACGGCATTTCGTCTATGGGAAAATGGGCAGTAGTGTTGAAAATAATCAATCGCCTATATACGCTTTTGACTCAGCTTTTGAAGGCTGTAAAGTGAGGATTGGATAGCTCCAACCTAGATATGGCAGCAATACTCCATTTTGGGGTCTAATCTGACTCTAATGAGATAAAGTATGTTGGGTACTTTCTGGCGTGGCACAAGAAAATAATCATTTTTACAGCATCTTTTGTGATAGATCGTATAGATGAGTTCCATTTGAGATCTGTGATGAAAATGAGTCTCAATAGACATTCAAAACAAAGAGATTATTACTGTATCTTGCTCGGTTTTATTATTATTGTTGTTCATCCCTTATTGTACCTTATAATTTATAAACTGAACTTTACTATAAGCATATATCTAGGATCTAGACAGTTCGAGAGAGTGTGTGTGTATGTGTGTGTGCGTGCCTTTTTCTTACACGAATCCTGTTTCTTCAAAATCTCCCAAAAGTGACCATCAAACCTTACGGCCGCTTTTATAGCTCACGGCTTAACATACAGTATAATTACAGGATAAGTCTCGTGTAACTCGTGAATAAAAATTGAGGTCTATTTCCACCCCCCTCTCTCTCTCTCTCTCTCTCTCTCTCTCTCTTTCTGTCTTTCTCTCTCAGTCACGCTCTCTTTTTCCAAAACCTCCACCCAGCGTTGGTCCTTTAATTCAGCAGTGGACATTGTATTGGCTAAACAAAAATCGATAATCAATCAATACACAATAAGTCGTCTCTCTGTCTGCACGCTATCATTATCTTTGACCATGTTCGTCCCTCCGCCGACAGTCCGCCTCCGACAGCGAAGCCCGGATCTATCGTCAATAAGATATAATCTATGTTATTGTGCCTACCCCTTGTCAATATATATCATCGTCGATCGGATCGAGAGAGCAATTAAAATGTATGTAACGAGTTTTCACACTTTTCTCTCTTTATTTTCTCTCTTTTATTCTTTTTGGCATTTTTTCTCACACTTTCTTTGACTCTCCTTTCGTTATGGTTTTCAATCTTTCGTAGACGAATTCTCCCTCCTACTCTCTCTTATATTCATTCTTTCTTTCACCATTTCGCCAGTCATTTCTTTCCTTCCATTATAACTTTTCATTTTTTACGTGATTTCTTTTTCTTTCTTTTTACTAAACACCTCTTTCTTTTTATTTTTTTTTTACGTCCTTTTCTTTCTTTTTTCATTCCTTGGTTAGTTTTTCAGATCATTTTTTTTCTTTTCTTTTCTTTGTGTTTTCATTCATTTATTTTTCATTTTTCTTTCTCTTCATTTTGTCTTTGTCTCACACTTTTTATTTTCCTTTCACATTCTTTCTTCGTTTTTTTCTTTAAGGTGTTTTATTACTGTGTAAATTTTGCCCCATGATTTACTTTTAATATTAAATATTATGCATGCTCACATTCACACGCACACATGCACAAGTACATACACACACATATACATATATTTTTTAAGATGTGTATATATACATTCATATATTATAATGTATAAAGGTGATATATTATTTTAAAAAATCTTTCATATCTTGTTAAAGATACCTATCATATATAATTTATGCATTTATTCATGTATGATGCTTGATTTTTTGTCATGGGCGCACACACACGCACACACACATATACCATTTTAAAATCAGATATGTAATAAGACACCATTCTTTAGTTTCTTATACATATACTTGGCATATAATATAAATATACTTATGGGTATATTCTCGAAGCATATAAAAGCATGTAGATATCTATTTGCAAATATATTTTTGATATATAATGTGTCTGTACACACGTACTCTTTATATATATACATATATGTATGTATATGAATGTATAAACATGCACACACACATACACACATATATAATGATATTGCATATATTTTATTATATTTAAAGGGAGAGAGTCTTCAGTATTGGGGGAAGAATGCATATAAATGCAACACTGCATCGTGACACGTAGTTTCACGCCTTAAGCGCCCATCAGTTTAATCTCTATATTCATCCTGCTTGCATAGATAAATAGATAAACAGTGTATACATAAGAATCAATATTGCATGTCGACTGTCAGAAGTCTGAAGATCACATTAAAACATGAACCAGTCACGATGCAGTATTGATTACCATGTCTAGACTGTTTATATCTATAAACACTCTATCTCCGATAGTGAGCACTCTTCCTCTGTAAATATAGGAAATTTTAATTATATATATACATATATATTCTTTTTCTTCATGTACCGTGTCCTCTTAGGATGTAGGCGATCATGGCTCTCCACAAATTCCTGTTCTTTGTAGCTCTTAAATTTTCTTTTTGTTATTTCTCCCAAACTCTGTTACGCTATCCAGTTACTCAAACACACTAAATAAGTTTCCTCTTTTCCTCTGTCTCCCTTACTTTCAAAATCTGTCCAGTGAGCATCAGATTTTCCAAGCCTTCTCTCCTCATTATGTGCCCTAGAAATTTCAACTCTCTCTTCCTGATGTTAGATATAAGTTTCCTTTTTGTTTCCATTTTCTCTAGAACTTCGTTGCTCACATGTTCAGTCTATGGTGTCCTCGGAATCCTTGTGTAGAACCACATTTCTTCTGCTTCAAGTTTTTCTTTATCTTGGAAGAGATTTCCAGCATTCTCTGCGTTATAGAACATATATCACGTAACAGTTCAATACACTTTTCTTTGTTTCTAACGAAGTTTTTCTATTTCTAAATACTTTGCTTAGATTTTGGAAGGCATCTTTAGCGATCCTAATGCCCATTCGGTGTCGCACTTTCTGTCTACTGTTAAAACACTTCCGAGATATTTAAATTGTTTCGAGGACGACTACGGGGCAACTTCAGAAGCAAACTTATACCCTGGTCAAGTGGTCCTCGTTCATGGGAACATTTAATGAGTTTTTGATATTGCTGTTTGGCTAGCTATTTTCCCTTTTGACGATAAACTCCGGACTCATAAGAGAATGATACTGTCCCACCCCGTCTTAACTACATGTCGATTTCAAAGTTTTCCAAACTGGGGAGGGGGTCACAATCTCTCAAGGAAAACAAGGCGGGAAGCGCAGCACGTTTTTTAAATCACCAAAATTTATCCAATTTAAATGAAAATTTCAATACATATTCATTAATTATTTACTTTTATAATGAATAGTTTTTTATTTTTAAAAAAATCTGAGAAAATGTTATTCTTTTTGTAATAACCACCAATATTTTCATTACTAAATTTTACTCGAAAAAAAATGTTTAAGTCGCAAATTTTTATATTTCCATAAAGATTAATTGCCGACGTATCTCCGCTGAAGAAAAAGTTTTACAAAGATTCCAACACAACACATGAAAAAACACCACCGTCAAACTGAATTTTCTTAAACCCCCCCCCAAAAAAAACGATGCGAATGCATGACAGGACTTGATGTATTTACTGCTTTATCGATCGTTTGTCTGAAAAATTAGGGTCAGTTAGGGTTTTTAGAGTTTGCTGTAGGCTAAGGGTAGAATTTTTCCGTAAACTTTTGACAAATAAGATAATCCGCAATTTACATTTACATTGATATATGGTTTAGCGTTTCTTACTAGCGTCTCTTTCACCTGGTTCTGTCATGCATTTGCATCAAAAAACTCAAAAAATCTTTCCTCCAATACGATTCATAGCTAAATAAATGCATAAATTGATTTAAAAGAACTGTTCACAAAGAAAATTACCTTTTGTAAAAAATAAGTCCTACTGAAATTAACACTTCTGCCCCACCTCCCCAGTAAGCATAGGGCCTCCACCCGGTTGAGAGGTTCGGGGTAGCAAGCACCGACCCTGATGATTATTATAGTTGATGATTGACAATCTAAATTTAAAAAAGTAAAAAGTACAAGAAGCAAAAAAAAAAACGTTGCTGAAATTAGCCCTTTTCGGGACTCCAACCTCGTCGGGTGTTCCTGTGTGGTACACACCGCACCAGACATGAAGAATTTTTAAAAATGGCGGATGGCCATAAAACAATGCTGAAAAAAAAATGGCAGAGGCCATAACGGGACAAAAAACAAAAACAAAAACAAAAACCCACTCTCCGGTCAGGGGTAAGACGCGCCGGCCATGGTATTTATTGACATTTGAATATATGTTTTGGACGCTAGAATTCTTGTTAAGTGAGAATTTTGTTTGAATTTTGAAAAGCTATAAATCTACAAAATTTTCGTGTTATATGTATTTATCTGTTATATTCAAATTGGATTAGTATAAACCAGTTAGTAGAGTAAACATCTAAATTCAAACATCATAATTTAAAAAATCATCTTTCGGTCTACAAATATTTCGTCTTAAGTGTTTGCCTATATATATGGGAAAACTGCGCCCTGAAGATGACAATTTGAAATTGTCGTAAGTACTTAGCATGCGTCTTCCACCTGGCAACAACTCGAATATAAGAATTTTATTATTCAAGTAATTGTTAGTAAGTTAATGTCTCATTAAGTTCTGCTAGCGAAGTGATTTGGCCATTAATCACATTATCATTGCTATTTAATTCTTTGTATAAATTGTTTCTTTATGATATAAAATATAAGCTGCGCACTCTAATATATATATATATACACTCTTCAAATGTTATTTAAGTGGATACCCGTATTTGAGTAGACGCTCCGTTTTTTTTAAAACAGTATTATTTCGTATATCGGCCTGCACATTTGAGAAAACTTTTTAAATAAACTTATTAATCTTCAGACATTTTCTTTAATCAATTTTCTCGAATGTGCAGGCCAGTAGAAGAAATAAATACTGTTTAAAATTTAAAAGAAAAAACGGAACGTCTATTCAAATATGAGTATCCACGTAAAATAACTTTTTTTACACACACACACACACATATATATATATATATATATATATATATATATATATATATATATATATAGAGAGAGAGAGAGAGAGAGAGAGAAACATAGGATATAGGGATCAACACGGCATAATTTGATCTTCGTTTATAACTAATTTTAATATTATTTTGAGGGACAATTTTTCCCCCTAGAATCACGAGGATTCTCCATGCACTTTGTCAACAGTGTTCACGTTTCTGAAATCAAATCTAACGCAAAAAAAAATGCCATTTTTAGTTTAGTCATTTTTTTTTTTAACATACTACAAATGACCTGCATGGTCAATATCGTCAGGATGCCACCATGACAATTTCAATAAACAAAGAAACGTATCTCACTATAATGAATTTTGTCTTCAATATCCCTTTCCTTACACATGTTTTTCTCTTCATTCTTCTTCTATTTTCTTCTTTTTAACCCTGGCTTTTAACATATAGACACTTGAAGCAACAAAAATTATCGGGAGAATTAAAAAAAATGGCTGGAAAATTGTTGTAAGCAAATTTGAATTCTAATTCCATAAAAACATTGGCACGTTACCAATGGTTAATTAATATCAGAATACTACATATTCTGATTTTTATTCATAACATCACTTACCAGATAAATAAAAGTGGTTCATACATCATGTTTAAACAAATTAATAAGTTCAACGTGGGTAGACATATTAAATAATGTTATATCTCTATGCACTTCATGACGCTTTACAAAATATATACGCTTAAGGCACGCGCGCGCACGTGTATACACAAAATAGACCGGAATAATTTTCTACTGTCTCTTTACATTCTATAACCTTCATTAGTTGATGATCAATTCAGTGATTTTGTTAAGTTTTCTATTGTTTTGACTTTAATATTGCGGCAATTTTTATTGCTTCCGAAAGAGTTTTGCTTGAATATTGTTTTTCTTCTAATGATGGACATATTTTCTATTGGATTAAAAACCAGAGAGGCAAGAAGAACGACTCCATTAATTTGCATGAATAAACTTTTTAGTTTAAATCTTCTTAGTTGTGGCCTACACCACTCAAAGAATGGCGTGTCTAAAAACTTACAATTATTCTTTGCAATTATCTTGATACATCAATGACTTTAAAGTGCCTTACCATTTTACTAACACAAAATATAATTCCTCACCCTGTTGTCTTCATATTGGTTTACTATGTCATATTGATTGATTCATGTTCTTAAATACTTTCGTCGGATGTAGATTTTCATACAGATGTCATTCACATTCAGTACTACCATCTGAATCCAACCTTTACCTTAGCTTTATGGTTATAAATCAAATGAATTTGTTTGATAAATGTTAAAAAGGTCAATTCTTCATCATAGATTAGGACTACAAAATCACAAAGAACTTTACCAGATAAGAAAAACTGAATGATTTGAAGACTCCCAACAGCAGCAAGAAAAATGGGTAGCATATGTAACTCGAAGAGAAAATGACGATACGATGAAGCTGTTAACTTTCCACACTACTCCAAATAAAAAGTTTGGAAAGAAA